GTGCCAGGAGTCACACACATAAGGGAGAACTACTGTGACTTTGTCTAGAAGAGGGCCTGATCTGAAACAAGCATATAAGTCATAGTAATATTGTGCAGAAATCAACAGACCTAGGCTCTTGGGACCATTCACTAAGGGTAAAGATTGTCATTGAGATACTGCATGTCTTCTAAGAATGAACATAATCAGAGAAAGTCTTTTGGTAAGCTTTGCCTAGCATGAGAATGATAGTAATTGATGAGTTATGTTTCTAGACATGCCATAAAATAAGAAAGAGCAGATACCAAAAAAAGAGTCCTTCTGAACTCTTCACCTGTTGGCTGGCTTGAATTACTAGGTTCTTTTTCAACGTCTCTGTTGACACTTCATTATTAGGCAAGGATTTGCTGAGCATAATCTTTTACTGGAAACTTTACAGTAATCTTAACAAAGACACAGATTTCCTTTGACATTTGATAGAAATACAGTTGAGATTAAACAATTCAAGACTGGTTTAATTTCCTCAGTGAACTACTTGGAAATTTTTTTAACTTTTTTTTAAATCCTCACCCAAGGATAAGATTTTATTTATTTTAGAGAGAGAGGGAGGGAAGAAAGAGAAACAGAAACATCAATGTGAAAGAGAAACATCAATCAGTTGATTGCCTCCCATATACACCCCAACCAGAGATCGAGCCCGAAACCTGGGTATGTGCCCTGACCAGGAATGGAACCCATGACCCTTCAGTGCATGACACTCCAACTCAAACACACCAGTCAGGCCACTATTGGGAAAATTTAATGAAACCTTGAAGGAAATAATTAAGAAGTATGTTGATAATCATGCTAATAATTTATATGAGAAATTTTATCACTTTTGTTATTTAAATATAGAAAAGTCTCAGGAATTATTTCATAATTCATAATTATATATGGGCGGAAAGTGGGTAGTCTTTTAATTCAATAACTATCAATACTAGGACAGTATACTAGGACGATTATATAATCAGGTATATATGGCATAATTTTAAGGTAAATTATTTAAGTATCAACTTGATAATAATGTAGTTTATTATAGTCATATAATTTCTTAGATACATCAGAAATGAACTTAGTTCATATGTTTTATTATTTAAATGATTCTTTGTAATTTATACAAAAGGATTAAAATTTTTTAAAGTTTAACACATATTAACTGAAAACAGCACTATATGCATATGTTTAAAAAGATGCACAATTATATATAACTTTATTTATACACATATGGTTTATACATACTCTACTATTATATTAATATTAATACAAACTATTAACTTTTTTCCAGATACTAAAATTTAGGGAGATTTCTCACTATTGGAAAAATGAAAACAAAACCAAAGGTTCAAAAACAATTGAGCCCGGCCAGGTGTGGCTCAGCAGTTGAGCGTCAACCTAGGTTCCAGGCGATCGGGGTTCGATTCCCGGTCAGGGCACATGCCCAGGTTGTGGGCTCGATCAATGACTCTCTCATCATTGATGTTTCTATCTCTCTCTCTCCCTCTCCTTTCCCCTCTCTAAAATCAATAAAGATATATTTTTTAAAAATAACAAAAACAATTGAAACATATTCTTGTATGTTGAAAATGGCTGATTAAATGAGTTAGTTCAAGATAAGAAATGTACAAAATGAGTAAAAGTTACTATAAGGAAGGGAAACATTCAGAGACTAATATGACAATATGATAATATGTTAAACACAGACCAATTGAAAAGTGTGTCTTTGGAGTAAAACAAAACAAAAAAATGGAAATTTACTAGCAAACTAGAGGTCATAAATTTATAAAACATCACATATTAGAATTGTTGACAGGAGGAAGGATGGTATTTCTTTCCTATATAAAATTAAGTTGCAGATTACTGGAGAGTTCTACCTGTGATTCCAAAGTAGCTAGATGAAAGATCTTATGCAATTTCTCTTGAGTAAGTCACAAGAGAACAGCATATTTAAACTAAACTAAATCCATTCTTTTTAAATATTGGTAAACATCAGAGTTAACTTGGGATAATGTATATATTGAGCTCTACTACTATAGATGCAGATTAAGTGGGTCTGTTTTAGAGCCCAGGATTATACTTAAAAATAAAAGTACTGGTCATCATAATAGAGGGATTACAACTACAAAATTTCAGGAACATTAGAAATCTCAGAAAGTCAAGTTCTACTATCACCACAAGATTAGGTGTCTGGAGAAACCTAGAATATATGAACATAGAAATCATTGGCATCCTTGTTCATCTCCTAGGAGGATAACACCTGAAATAATGAAGGTAGTCTGAGAGTACTTTCCAGTAGTATTGTTTACATTACGAATATTTTTTTATTTTGATGTAGTCCAATTTATCTATTTTTGTAACATGCAAGAAAGAGTTATGTCTGTGCTAAGAGAGATCATTGATGTACTTTACTGAAAATCATGTAGAATCAATTTGGCTGTCCATATAGAGGGGATGAAAGCCCAGGGATGGCACCAATTTTTAGAATGAATAGAAATGTTTTAGATTAAATCACAATAGTGGTAAGAAAGTAAAATAAGGAATTAACCAAATTTCTCGGAATTTCTTATCATCTCCCGTGATCTTGTCTCTAAATAGAAACTGCATTAAATCTTATATGTATTATAGGTAATTGAATTCCATAACAATGCTTTATGTGTATCCTATGCCCAAAATTAATGTACTACCTGATCAGTTGGAGACTAGTAAAATTATTTCAATTCTAGATTATAGTAATTTCTATTTAAAATAAAAGAGCTTTAATGATATATAATTAACATATCATAAAATATACTCATTGAAACTGTACAATTCAACAGTTCTTTACAAGATATATATTTTTATTTCTTTTTTCTTTTTCAATTACAGTCAACATTTAATATTATTTTATATTTGTTTCAGGTGTACAGCATAGTGGTTAGAAATTTATATAATTTACAAAGTGATCCCCTGATAAGTCTATTACCCACCTGGCACCATACATAGTTCTTACAGTATTATTGACTATATTCCCTATGCTGTAATCAGCAGTTTTAAGTATACACAGAGTTGTAAAACCATCATATATCTAACTATAGAACATTCTCATCACCCCCAAAAGAAACCCCATACACATTAGCAAATATTTCCCATTCTAGCCCCTATTCCTCCCAGCTTGAGGCAAATAGTAATCTACTTAATGTTTCTATAGAACTGTCTATTTATTCCATTTTATATAATTGGAATTATACAATAGTGGTCTATTGTGACTTGCTTCTTTTATATAGCAAATTGTTTTCAAGGTCCATCCAACTTGTAACATGTACCAGTACTTCATTAATTTTGATTGTCAGTTAATATCCCATTATATGATTATATCACATTTTAAGTGGCTCTCACATTTTGGCTATTATAAATAATAATGTTATAAATATTTACATACAGATTTTTGTATTGATATATTTTCATATACCAAGGAATTAAATTGTTGGGTTATATGGTAAGTCCATGTTTAACATTCTTAGGAATTGTCACACTATATTCCAAGTTGGCTGCACCATTTTACAGTCCTACTAACAATTTATGGGTTTTTTTCCACATCCCAACCAATACTTATTAGTGTCTGTCTATTATATTAAAACCATCCTAGTGAATGGAAATTGGTAGCTCATTGTGGGTTTGATTTGCATTTCTATAATTAATGATAATATCTTTTCATATTCTTATTGGCCATTTATATCTCTTTTTTGGAGAAATATCTGTCAGATCATTTGCCCTTTAAAAAACTAGCCTATCGCCCAGCTGAGTGTGGCTCAGCAGTTGAGCATCAACCTAGGATCCAGGAGATCGAGGTTCGATTCCCAGTCAGGGCACATGCCCGGGTTGCAGGCTCGATTCCCAGTCAGGGGTGTGCAGGAGGCAGTCAGCCAATGACAACTCCCTCATCACTGATGTTTCTATCTCTCTCTCTCCCTCTCCCTTCCTCTCTAAAATCAATAAAGATATATTTTAAAAAAACAACAATTCTATTATTCTTTTCTTTATCAAGTTGCAAGCATTTTGTATATATTCTGGGAAGAAGTCCTTTAACAGATATGATATTAAAATATCTCTTCCCATTCTTCGACTTGTGTTTTCATTTTCTTCATGGTATTGTTAACAATACAAATGTTTTTCATTTGATATAGTCCAATTTACC